GGGGGTTGGACCCCAATTTTAGGGGGCTTTGGGGGGTTGGACCCCAATTTTGAGGGGGTTGGACCCCAATTTTGGGGGTTTTTGGAGGGCTCTGAAGGGCTGGATCCCAATTTTTTTTTGGGGGGAGGGGGTTTGACCCCATTTTGGAGGGTCTGAACCCCAAATTTTGGGGGGGTTTTTATCCTGGTTTGGGGCTTTATTTGGGCCTGGACCCCCCCATTTGGGGGGTCTTTGGGGCTGGACCCCAATCCTGGGGGGTCTTTTTGGGGGGGTCTGGCCCCCCAATTTTAAGGTTTTTTGGGTTTATCTCCGTTTTGGGGTTTATTCACCCCAAAAAAACCCCACTTTTTTTTGCACAGGTGGTCCCAGGACCCCCCAAATCCTACCCAGGACCCCCCCAAAGCCCCCCAGGACCCCCCCAAACCTGTGAGGTCCGAGGGCACCAAATATTTCTTCTTGTCCAGGTCCCCAATTCGGGCCTTGGGCGCCTTTTCCACGATCACCTGGAGGAAAAAGGGGGGGATTTGGGGGGTCCCGGGGGGGTTTGGGGGTCCCAGAGGGGATTTTGAGGCTCCTTGGGGTGGTTTTGGGGGTCCCAAGGGGGGGGTTGGGGGTCCCAGAGGGGATTTTGAGGCTCCTTGGGGTGGTTTTGGGGGTCTCAGAGGGTTTGGGGGGGGTCACCAGGGGGTTGTTTTGGGGGTTCCAGGGGGGTTTTGGGGGTCCTGGGATGGGTTTGGGGGGGCTCCAGGGGGGTCCCAGATGGATTTCGGGGGGGCCTGGGGTGGTTTTGGGGATCTCAGGGGGGTCTTGGGGGTCCCAGGAGGGTTTATTGGGGGGGGGTTGAGGATTCTCTGGGGGGTCCCAGGGTGGGTTTTTTGGGGGTTCCCCAAACGGTTCCAGGGGGTCCCCAAGGGGGGTCCCGGGGGGGGTTCTTGGTCGATCCCGGGGGGGTCCCCAAGGGGGGGTCCCTAAGGGGGGTCCTGGGGGGTCTTATGGTCGACTACAGGGGGAGGGGGCCCGAGGGGGGGTCCCGGAGCCACTTTTGGGGTCCCCCGGGGGGGCCGGAGGGGGTCCCCAGGGGCTTCGGTCAATTCGGGGGGGCTGGGGGTTCCCCCGGGGGTCCCCGGGTAGCTCTGGGGGGTCCGGGGGGGGTCTCTGACCGATGCCGGGGGGTCCCCAAAGGGGGGGGTCCCAAAGGCGGGGACCCCCAAAGGGGGTTCTCTCGCGTTCCGGGGGGGAGTCCCGGACGCTTCCGGGTGTATCCCGGGGGGGCACCCCGCGCTTCCCAAGGTGGTCCCCGACGATCCCTGATGGTCCCGGGGGGGTACCCAGGGGGTATCCCAGGGGGGTGCCCGGGGGGGTCCCCACACCGGGGGTGGGGGGGGGTGGGTTTGAGGGAATGGGGGGGGTCGCTCCCCGCCCGCCCCGCCCTCACCGGGACTCGGTCCGGGTACTTCTTGCGGATCTTCTCGCCTTCGCAGCGGCGCTTCTCGAACGGATGCTCCTCCTTGTACAGGAACTTCATGGCCGGGTCGGGGCCGGCGCCGGGGGCCGGGGCCTGGTCGGGGCCGAACCGGGACCGGGACCGGGCCGGGACCGGAGGCTTCGGCGGCGGCGGCGGCGGCGGCGCAGGGATACGGGCCCGCCCCCGCCGCGCTGCGCAAACGGCGCAGGGATACGCAAACGGCGTAAGGCGGCGCCGCGGGAGGCAACGGGGCGGTGCTACGCAAATTGCGCAAGGGGGGCGGTGCTACGCAAACGGCGTAAGGGGAACGCCGGTAACGGCAATGGAAGGGGTTGCGTAAATTGCGTAGGGCTACGCAAATGGCGCGAAGGAGGGAGGGCCCTGCCCTCAGCGCTACGCAAATGGCGGGAGGGCCGCGGTGGCTTCCTGAGGGCTCGCGGAGCTTTCCCGGATCATCCCAGTCCCTCCCTAAGGGCTCCCAGTTTATCCCAGTCCCTCCCTAAGGGCTTCCAGATCATCCCAGTTCCCTCCTAAGGCTTCCAGTCCGTCCCAGTCCCCTCCTAACGCCGCTGCCCTCAGCGCTACGCAACCGGCGTAAGGACCCGGTCCCCTCCTAAGAGCTCCCAGTTTATCCAAGTAACTCCCTAAGGGCTCCCAGTTTATCCCAGTACCTTCCAGTCCCTCCCTAAGGGTTCCCAGTAGCTCCCAGTTCCCTCCTAAGGGCTCCCAGTCCGCTCCTAGCGCCGCTGCTCTCAGCGCTACGCAAACGGCGTAAGGGGCTCTTCCACTGCCCTCAGCGCTACGCAAACGGCGTAAGGGGAGCCAGGGATGGCAATGGGCGGGGTTACGCAAACTGCGTAAGGACCGGCAAATGGCGCGAACGCCCCGCCCTCAGCGCTACGCAAATGGCGGAAGGGCCCCGGTTCCTTCCTGAGGGCTCCCAGTTCATCCCAGTGCCTCCCAGTTCCTTCCGGAGGGCTCCCAGTTCATCCCAGTACCTCCCAGTCCCTTCCGGAGGGCTCCCAGTTCATCCCAGTTCCCTCCTAGCGCCGCTGCCCTCAGCGCTACGCAAATTGCGGAAGGAGCCGAACCCCTCGTAACAGCTCCCAGTTTATCCCAGTTCCCCCCAGTCCTCCCCTCTAAGGGCTCCCAGTTCACACCAGTCCCTTCCTAAGGGCTCCCGGTCCCTCACAGACCTTTCCCAGTTCATCCCGCTCCCCTCCTAAGAGCTCCCAGTTCGTGCCGGCGATGGGATTTTTGGTGTCCCGGTGCCCGGGGGGGGTTGTCGGGGGGGTCTCAGGGGGGTCTCTGTCCCCGGACGGGGGGTTCCCGTTCCCGGTGGGGGGTTCCGGGGGTCGCGGGGAGGCCCCCGGGGCGGAGGCGCGGAAGGATCCGGCGGTGCTGCGGCTGTCCCCCGTCACGTGAGTGACGTCACCGCGGCGCGCGCGCTGGGGAAAGGGGGGGGTACGTCACGTGGCGGGCGGGGCCGGGGGGGGTGTAAACAGAGAGAGTCACGTGACCCGGAGACAAAAGGGGCGGAGCCAGAGGAGGAAGGGGCGGGGCCTGGTGGACGAAACCATTGTGGGAGGCGGGGAGGGGGGAAATGGGGACTCCAAAAATGGGTCGGGGGGGGCACAAAGACCCCCCAAAAAGGGTCTGGGGGGAAACAGGGACCCATAAAATGGGTCCGTGGGGGCACAGGACCCCCCAAGTTGGGGCTGGGGGAGACACAGAGACCCCCAAAATGGGGCTGGGGGAGGCACAGGGATCCTCAAATTGGGTTGGGGGGGTCACAAGGACCCCCAGTGTGGGGCTTGGGAGGGGCACAAAGACCCCCAAAATGGGTCTGGGGGACAGGGTGGATGAAACCATTATGGGAGGCGGGGGGGACGGGGGGGCACAAGGCCCCCCAAAATGGGTCTGGTAGAGCACAAAGACCCCTAAAATGGGGCTGAGGGGACCCGAAATGGGTCTGGGGGGGTACAAAGACCCCCCAAAATGGGTCTGGGGCACCACCAAGACCCCTAAAATGGGTCTGGGGGGCAGGGCGGACGAAACCATTGTGGGAGGCGGGGGGGGGCGGGGGGGCACAAGGCCCCCCAAAATGGGTCTGGGGGAGAACAAAGACCCCCAAGCCGGGTCTGGAGGGGCACAAAGACCCCCCCAAATGGGGTCTGGGGTCCCCAGGAAGCACAGACACGCCGGGGGTGGGACCAAGGGCTTTTTAAAAACATGGGGGGGGCTCCCGAGTGTCCGAGTCCGTCCGTCTGTCCGAGGAGGGGGGGGGGGCGGCCGGGGCCCCCCAAAATCTCCCCCCCCACCAGCCCCCAAATCCGGCACGTGGCTCCGAGAAACCCCCCCCAAAAAAAAAAAAAAAAGAAGGGGTGGGGCGCGGAGGGGCGAGAGAAGAAAGAAACTTCACCCCCTTTTTTTGGGGCAAAGAGTCCGTCCCGGGGGGGTCCCGGGGGGGTCCCGGGGGGGCCCATCCTGGGGGGTCCTGGAGGGCTCATCCAGCCGGGGGGGGTCTTGTCCGTCCCGGGGTGGGGGGGTCCCATCCAGGAAGGTCCGGGGGGGGGTCTCGTCCATCCTGGGGGGTCCAAGCCAGGAGGGTCCAGAGGTCTCGTCCCGGGGGTCTCGTCCCGGGGGTCCCATTCCGGGGGTCTCCCCTCGGTGCCTCCACAGTCCCTGGTTGGGGTCCGGGGGGGTCCTGGCCCATTTTGGGGGGTCCCGGCCCATCGTGGGGGGTCCTGTCCCATCCAGGGGGGGTCCCATCCAGGGGGTCCCGTCCAGGGGGTCCCGTCCAGGGGGTCCCATCCAGGGGGTCCCATCCAGGGGGTCCCGGGGGGGTCCGGGGTCACCAGAGCCGGTGCTGGTGAAGGTTCCGGCTCAGGACGGAGCGAACGTCGGCGGTGAACCTTTGGGGGGGGCAGAGGGGCCACGGTGAGACCCCCAAAGTCACCCCCCGAAACACCCCGGGGGTGCCACGGGGACCAAAACCCTCCTGGGACCCCCTAAAACCACCTCAGGGTCACCTAAATCACCCCTAGGACCCCCTAAAACCACCTCAGAGTCACCTAAATCACTCTGGGACCACCAAAAACCACCCCAGGATCACCTAAGTCATCCCTGGGACTACCAAAACCAGCCCTGGGACCCCCCAAAACCAGCCCTGGGATCACCAAAATCACGCCTGGGATCACCAAAATCACCCCAGGACCCCCTAAAACCACCTCAGGGTCACCTAAATCATCCCTGGGACCACCAAAAACAGCCCTGGGACCCCCCAAAACCACCCCTGGGATCACCCAAAATCACTCTGGGACCCCCGAAAACCACCTCAGGGTCACCTAAACCACCCCTGGGATCACCAAAACCACCCCTGGGATCACCAAAATCACCCCAAGACCCCCCAAAACCACCTCAGGATCACCTAAATCATCCCTGGGACCACCCAAAACCAGCCCTGGGATCACCAAAATCACCCCAGGACCCCCCAAAACCACCTCACGATCACCTAAATCACCCCTGGGATCACCCAAAACCACCCTGGGACCCCCTAGAACCACCTCAGGACCCCCAAAACCTCCTCCAGAACACCTCCAACCCTTTCTGAACCCCCTCAAAGACCCCCCCAGACCCCCTCAGGACCCCCCAAAGACCCCCAGGACCCCCCCCCAGCCCCTTCTGTGTCCCCAAGGAACCCACTGGGGTCCCCTCAGGCTCCCCAAACCCCCCTGCAGCCCCCCAAAAATCCCCCCAAGCTCCCCCAGAACCCCTCAGGACCCCTCCACGACCCCCCAGGACCCCCCCAAAAGCCCCCCCCTCACCTCGGGCGTCCAGCATGGGCAGCGAGCAGGGCAGGTTGCAGGGGTGCAGGTTGAGCAGGGGGCCACCCCCAAACCCCTGCAGCCCCCCAAAATGCCCCCCAAGCTCCCCCAGAACCCCTCAGGACCCCCCAGAACCCTCCAAAGACCCCCCCAAGACCCCCCAGGACCCCCCCAAAGCCCCCCCCTCACCTCAGGGCGTCCAGCATGGGCAGCAGGTTGAGCAGGGCCGTGTCCCCGGGGTCGCTGAACCACGACTTGATGGGGATGGCGTTGTCTGGGGGGGCACAGGGGGGGTTTGGGGGGGCCTGGGAGGGTTTGGGGGGTCTGGGGGGTCTTGGGAGGGTCCTGAAGGGGGTTTTGGGAGTCCCGGGGGGAAATTGGGGGTCCCAGGGGGGCTTTTGGGGATCCCAGGGGGTGTTTGGGGAGGTTCTGAGGTGTCTTGGGGGGGCTTTTGGGGGGTCTTGGGAGAGTTTTGGGGATCTTGGGAGGAGTTTTGGGGATCTTGGGAGAGGTCCCACTGTGGGCGGTGGGTGTTTTGGGGGTCTGGTCTCAGGGGGGGTGTTTCTGGGAGGGGGGAACCACCTGAGGGGTCTTCTTGGTGGCAACAGGAGGGGTTTGGGGGGTTAATAGACGGCGTTTTTGGGCGTTTGGGAGGCCGTCCTGAAGGAGGTTTTTTGGGGGTTCCCAGGGGGGTGTCTGGACTGCTTCTTGAGGTGTTTGGGCGGGAGGCAAGGGGGGGGTTGTGTAGGGGCCATGGGAGGGCTCCTGGCGGAGGGTTTTTTTGGGGGCGTCTTGGGGCGGGTCCGGAAGGGGGTTCTGGGGGTCCCATAAAGTGTTTGGGGAGGTTCTGAGGTGTCTGGGGGGGCACAGGGGGGGTTTGGGGGGGCCTGGGAGGGGTCTGGGGGGTCTGGGGGGTCTTGGGAGGGTCCTGATGGGGGTTCTGGGGGTCCCAGAGGGTGTTTGGGGAGGTTCTGAGGTATCTTGGGGGGGCACAGGAGGGGTTTGGGGGGGCCTGGGAGGGTTTGGGGGAGTCCTGGGAGGGTTTGGGGGCTCTTGGGAGGGTCCTGAAGGGGCTTTTGGGGGTCCCAGGGGGTGTCTGGGGAGGTCCTGTGGTGTCTGGGGGGGTACAGGGGGGGTTTGGGGGGGCCTGGGAGGGTCTGGGGGGTCTTGGGAGGGTCCTGATGGGGGTTTTGGGGGTCCCAGGGGGGAAATTGGGGGTCCCAGGGGGCTTTTGGGGATCTCAGGAGGGTGTCTGGGGAGGTCTTGAGGTGTCTTGGGGGGGCACAGGGGGGGATTTTGGGGTCCTGGGAGGGTTTTGGGGGGGGTCTGGGGAGCTCCTGAAGGGGATTTTGAGGGGTACAGGGAAAAACTGGGGGGTCTGGGGGTAGTTTTGGGGGTCCTGGGGTGGTTTTGGGGACCCCGGGGGGGGCATTTTAGGGGGTGTTTGGGAGCTGGTTTGGGGGCGTTTTGGGGGGTCCCAGGGGTGTGGTTTTTGGGGCTGTTTTGGGGGGGTTTTGGGGGGTGTTGTTTTTTGGGGGGGTTCCCGGGGGGTGTATTTTTCAGGGGGGTTTTGGGGGGCTCTGGGGGGTCTCTGGGGGGTATTTTGGGGTACCTGGGTGGCTCCTGTAGGCTCCAGGGGAGTTGTCCAGGATGACAATGCTGGACAGGGGGGTGTTTTCGGGGGAGTTTTTCGGGGTGTTTTGGGGGGTTTTGGGGGGGTTTTTGGGGTGTATTTTTCAGGGGGGGCTCTGGGGGGTCTCTGGGGGGTCTCAGGGGGTACCTGGGTGGCTCCTGTAGGCTCCAGGGGAGTTGTCCAGGATGACAATGCTGGACAGGGGGGGGTTTTTGGGGGGGTTTGGGGGGTGGTGGTGTTTTTGGGGGTTGTTTTGGGGGGTTTTGGGGATGTCGTTTTCAGGGGGCGTTTGGGGGGCCCTGGGGGGTCTCAGGGGGTACCTGGGTGGCTCCTGTAGGCTCCAGGGGAGTTGTCCAGGATGACAATGCTGGACAGGTCGCTGTGCACGACCGACAGGTCCTTGATGTAACTGCCCAGCTCCAGGGTGCAGTGCTGGGGGGCGGGGCCGCGTCAGGACACGCCCCCTCTCACCTGGGACACGCCCCCTCTCACCTGGGGACACGCCCACCCACAGGGCTCTGCCCCTTTAAAGGCCACACCCACATTTGGCCCCACCCAATGAGTGTGGCCACGCCCCCTGACACCGCATAGCCCCGCCCATCACTTGACCACGCCCACAGGTAGCCCCACCCACCGCTCGACCACAAGTCTAAGCCACGCCCATAAGATTGGAGCCACGCCCCCACAACTCAAGCCACGCCTTCAAGACAAGAAACACCCCCAATTATTCAGGCCACACCCATCTATGGCAAGCCACGCCCACAAATCTTCAACGTGCCTGTGAAACGCACACCACGCCCACAAGACACCAGCCACGCCCACAAGGATCAGGCCACACCCACAAAACACAAGCCACACCCACACAGATCAAGCCACACCCACAAAACCACATAATATAAGCCACACCCACAGAGACCAAGCCACACCCACAAAATGCAAGCCACACCCACAAGGACCAAGCCACACCCACAGAGATCAAGCCACACCCACACAAATCAAGCCACACCCACACAGGTCAAGCCACACCCACACAGGTCAAGCCACACCCACACAGGTCAAGCCACACCCACAAAACACAAGCCACACCCACACAGGTCAAGCCACACCCACAAAATTACAAAACGCAAGCCACGCCCACACAGATCGAGCCACACCCACAAATCTCAAACCACTCCCCCAAAACTCGAGCCACACCCCCAAAACTCAAACCACTCCCCCAAAGCTAAAGCCCCGCCCCCCACACCCAAGCCCCGCCCCCCGGGCCAGGCCCCGCCCACCTGGCGGTAGTATCGGCGGTTGAGGATGCTGCGGTTGTTGTCCAGCTTGTCGGCAACGGCACAGCCGTAGATCTCCATGGAGGCCGTGAACACCACCAGCTCGTACCACTGGCTCACCTGGGGGGG